AAACAGATATTAAATTTTTTCCTTCCTGTTTATATTTTTTTTTTTTTTTTTTTTTTTTTTCAAAATGTAGCCACTGTGGAAGCAAAATAACGATATGGGGTTTTTATGTCTGATTATTTCACAGAAAACCAGTGCCCACCTGGCTATGCTTGTCCAGCTGGAAGTGCAGAGCCAGAGATCTGCAGTCCAGGCTCATTTCAGGCTTTGTCTGGACAGTCAGTTTGTGATAGCTGTCCACCTGGTAAATTAAGTGTTCAAATGTGTTTATCTGCTCTAAATTTGTAAATAGTTTTTTTCATTTTGAGTTAGTTTTTTTTTTTTTCAGGTTTTTACTGCCTGGAAGGCTCTGCTGTTCCTTCTCCATGTCCGGTGGGTTATGTCAGTCGATTAGCTGACAGGATGTCCCTGAGCCACTGCTCTCCTTGCCCCTCTGGCTACTTTTGTAACAGTGATGCTCTGACAGAACCGTCTGGACTCTGCAGCCCAGGTCTGTCAGCTCACAAGCTGTGTATCAACAAACCTAGCTAATAAAAGTTATTTTTGTGCAAGAACATTTTGTGGATTCAAGTTAGAGTGATAAATACTTGGTAAACGTAAGTAAAAATGAATGAGAGAATTCAGTGAAAATGTAGGATCATCTATAGGTGCTGCATCCATGATAGCAGACTGTACAAGAAATAAAATTATAGAAACTTAATAGTTCTGAAACCATAAGTCTATATCATGAAAGTCGGACTCCACTATCACTTGAGTCTTATCACTTTTATTGCCCAACATGATAAAAGTAGATTTTCGCTAATTTGTCATAAACAAACTAGATGTATAACTGGTAAGACAAATTATCTCAAGAAGCAGAAGAGAAAGTTAAAAGTTGTAATAAAGGAGATAACATAAAGGACTCTTTAGATATCTATTTTGGCTTTGGAATATCCCTCAACTATAAACGTATCAAGCCTGAGCAGAGACTGAATATAAATTGAAATTTAAAGATAAAAAAAAGCAGCGTTAAAGTTGTAGATCTATCTTCAAACGCAGGGGAAATTAGGTGTGAATATGTTTAGAAAAGAAAGTGTGTAGAAAATATTTTGTTGCAATCAGATCAGGTTAAAATCTTATTGGATGTGTTTTATGATTAAAGTTTAACAGCATGTGTTCATTTCTTTCTGCAAAACATTTTTTGCTCGTGTGGTAAAATTTAAAAATATTTCAGTAATCCTTAGGGGGATATTTGTCCGTATTTTCTACTACAGGACATTTTTGTTCCCAGGGTTCCACCGAGTCTTCACCTGTCTCCCAGCCGTATGGGGACGTTTGTCCTTTGGGACACTTCTGTCCTCAGGGAAGTGGGTCACCCAAACCTTGTCCTGTTGGCAGTTTTCTTCCAGAACCTGGAGCTTTATCCGTCTCTCAATGCCGCCCTTGCCCTCCAGGGAAATACTGCCTTATTCCTGGAGCCTCACAACCCTCAGGTGGGGAACTTGTGTTATTCTGACTCTCTATTCCTGCATTGTGTCAAGTGTGAAACATTCTTTTTCCTTTTTATTTTTTTTTTTCAAGGCTTTAATCAAATAATTACAAGAAACAAACACATATTTATGGGTTTAATGACAGATTGTTTAATCCCATCTCTTCTGAATTGATGCCTCTTTGTGCTAGGTTTATGTCACGCCGGTTTCTTCTGTGCTGGTGGTGCTGATAGCCCCACACCGCAAGCAAACTCTTCCATGTCAAAATGTCTTGTGGACATCCTGGACTCTTACTCGATGGAAATAGACTTGGTCTTGTGGACGTACAACCTGTCCTGCTCCAACTTTTCTTCTAGATCTGGTATTGTTTTGCATTTCTTAACATTTAAGTAGTGCAGTGAATGTTTCTCTGCTCAGTAGGACATTTTACAACATTTTCTGTTCAGTTGTTTTATAGTCATTTATACATACAAATTAGAGAAACAGGGCAGCACAGTGGCACATTGGAAGCACTGCTGACTTTTAGGATTCTGGTTCTACCTGGGTCCTTTGTACGATCTTCCAGTGCATGCATTGGTTCTCTCCTGGTACTCCCACAATTTAAAACATGACTATTAGGTCACTTAGTTCTTAAGTATGTGTGTTAACATACGTGGTCGTTTGCCTTGTAGTGGACGTCAGGATGCATCTCGCCAAATGTTTTTGCAGCCCTCTAAAAAAAACGATGGATGGATGGAAAAGATCCAAACTGCAGATTGAACGAAGGCTCATAAAGGGAGAATTATAGTAGAGATTTATCCATCGAGGAGGAAGTCAAGAGAAATGTTGGTAGAGGGCCGTCTTGTAGAAATAAAACATGCTGACCCAGAGATTTAAAAGCGTTCTCTATTGAGCTCAGTTTTAATTGATAGCTTAAGTGAAAATTCTGCTATGAATTTAGTATGATTTATAATTTTTGCTCTGGTTCTTAGCTGTATCATTACTCTGACGTGTAATGTCGTGCAACACAACTCGCTCTTCTCCAACAACTGTTATCAAAATGCTTTATCATAGGAAGCTCTGCATTGGTTGTAGGAAAAATAGTGGTATTGATCTAAAGCAATTAAAACACACTCTTTCCTACAGCCATTCTGTGTTTTAGTGATGCGGATTTAGTTACACCACATTGATGTAACTAGTTGTCATGTGACTCAAACTCTAGACGTCCATAATAACATGGCTAATTCTCTTTACGCCATGTTTTGATCTGAAAAGTTACTTTAAGCTAATGCTACACACACAGTTAAAAGGAAAGTTAAAATACAAACATGGCTCATAGGGCTCATTCATTTGGCTTTGGTATTGAGAAGAACATTTGGTAACGTGTGATAATTGATAATGTTTTATCAAAACGATCCTTAGAGCTCTGACCTTGTGACTGATAGAGGTTCGAACAGTAAAATCCATGGTAAAATGTCAAATTTCTTATCCGAGAAACTTTACACTTCTACAAAACTATTGTTTCTATGTCTTGCCAATAAACAGCCACACATTTGTTTAGCATATTCCTGTTATAAAATGTGCTACATAAGTAGAATTGACTACAAAAATATCTATTTTTTTGGCTAAAACAAAATGCATTATGTCATTCTGCTGTTACATATTTTTCAAATATTACAGGAAGTTTTTGTTTTAGAGAGGCTTATCACAAGTGGCTCTGTTTTGTGTCATTAGTGGACATTATGTAAAATTGACTTTTTTGAGCTTTATATCGTATTGGGATGTTATTTGTTCCAAAACAAAACAAGATATTTGGGTTTTTGATTTGATTGAGATGCGAGCGTTACTGACGGTGAAAAGACATTCCTCCTGACTTGATTGTTTTTGACCTGGTGCGGTGTATTTTTGCAAATGGTATTCAGACCACTGAGCAGCTTTGTGAGCTATTTTTTTTTATTTCAAATGACCACTCTCAATTTATTTTGTCTGGACAAAGAGACAGTTTTGGCAAATATGTAAAAAAAATGTATTTTTTCTGAAAGTTGCCTACTGCAACTCCTGAATGGCTGCCACAAGAGATTCATAGGGTTTTCTTAAACATGCACGAATAAGTCAAAGCAACATTCCTGGTAGGTTTTTGCTGAGGGAATGACATTATAACATGTAGTACAGCTAAAAAAAAAAAGAGTCTATTTTGCATTACTCCCCATTGCCCCGCTCCCTGTAAGAAACAGACAGCTGTTTCTGTTTGTGTACTGTCCGTTTGATAAAAGATGTAAAACCAGCAGTTTTTTAGCTTTGTCTGCCATGTTCAGCTGCAGGGGGAAACACTACCTGGATCAAAGTAGCCGCGATGCCTCTGGCAGATTCTGATCACAATGCGAATCGCTCAGCAGAACATCTCAAGAGTCCACATTATGCATGTTCCACCTACCGAGGAGATATATGTCCTAAGGGTGAGTAAATCCTGACAGAGAAAGTGTGATCTAATATGACTTTATCCCCTCTCCCATGGACGTTTTCATCTTATGACACTGTCACTATAGTTGCTGTAACATGTAAGTACTTTCAAATGCGTGTGTCTAAGATTCGAGCATTTTTAGATATTTGAAAAAAAAATAAAATAAATGTAGTGACAGAACATTTTACAGTAGTTGTAGAAAGTGTTTACATGCACTTTCTGTGATTAAGCGATCTTTGCTGTCAATCAAAGCAGCAGAAGATGCTGATGGTTATGCAAAGTGAGCTGCCTCCTCTATTCGACGCGCCTCGCTTTCCAAGTGTCCTCATATGAAGAAGTGAAAGTCTGAATGTCATTTTGTGACCTCCATCTTCAAAAGAAGCCTGCTGGTGGTGACGATGTGCATGAAGGCACTGTAAAGTAGTTGCTCATATCAGCCCATAAAAGAACAAATTCACATTCCTGCAGCAAAGTAATTAGCTCCTCTGAATTGTCAAAGAAGCTCTCTGGTAGATGGAAAATAAAAGATTCAGTATTTATGCCTGTGTGCGGGGCGAGCAATGCGTAAAAGAATCCAAAGAATCCTCCTCCTATTTTACAGCAGTTGAATAGTTTTACTGACAGCTTTTGTTGTTGTTTTTCAGGTTTCTATTGTCCTTTGGGAACCGCTTATCCTAAGCTCTGTGATGTCGGATTTTACTGTAACCAGACGGGTCTAACGGCACCAGCAGGGCCGTGCCTGGGTGGCTATTTCTGTCCCTGGGGGTCCTCAGACGCTTACGTCAACCCGTGCCCCTCTGGACATTACTGCCCAGTTGGAACGCCTCTTCCCAAGCCATGCCCCCTAGGAACCATTAAAAGTGAGACATTTTGGAATATAGTTGACATTTCTAAATTACTTTGGTAAGTTTTCTCTGAAGAAAACTGCTTGTAAAACAATGTTTGAACATGTGTGTAATCCCTACCCGTCCTGAGTTGGAAATAATGAGCGTTCAGGCGCAAACCGGAGCCGAGATAAACAGGACCCAATCCTCTTCTGCTATCATTGTCAGTTTTGTTCCCCCTGTTGTCCTCGAATGAACTGGATCTCTGTCTTTGTGGGTCACTGATGTGGAAAAATATGAAAACATCCACTGAAGCAGGGGTTTTTTTTCACCTCCCTTGGGCGCTTATAAATAATTATTGTCGCAAAATGGTTTAATCGTGTAATTATATTCTCGTCTCGCTGCAGACAACTAGAAGCTCATTAATGTGTGCCGTAGCTTCTTTGTGTGGCTGTGAATTAGAAACTGATGAGGGAGCAGGTACTTTGTAGTTTGCATTAAAATTACATTTTTATCTGTTTTAATGCTTTAATTATTTAATCTCACATACTGATTTGATATTGTTTTTTTAAATATCCAAAAAAGTAAACAGTGCTGCGTGTTCTTTCCTCTCTTTAATGTGGGCAAGGTGAACTTGTTTTATAACAAATCATGGCCGTCTGTGCTTATCAACTGGGGATCTGTTTTCAAAAATCTTATTTAGTTTTGCCAATGTATTCAAAGCTTCATGGGCATTTTAACACCTGTATACCACATATGACAAGTAGTGGAAAGATGTTTTACCTTCATGAGGGTTTAGAAAAACATCTCCTTCGATCCAATTGAAGACTATTTGTGTGGACTCGTCTTTTGATCTCTTTAAATATTGTAGTAGATGTAGTAGTCAATAAAATGTTTGATTCTCTATGAGATAGATGTCTGGAGGCTAATACTTGATCAACGGTTTCCCCCAGAAAACTTGCTAAGCCTGGTGGGTGGGGCGCTTGGCAGTCATTCATCCAGCGTGTTTTTGAGTTAAAAAATGTTTAAAATTGACAGAAAGTTTGAAAATATCACTTGATAATTATGTGTTATTGAAAGATTGGGAGATTAATACTTGAACACTAACTATGAAGCCTTAAAAACATGCAAATATTTTAAAAAGATTTTTAAAAAGTAAGCAATGCTCAGCCTGGTGGGGGCACAAGTAAAGCCTGGTGGCCCGCCAGGCCTATAATACACTTAGGAAAACCCTGCTTGATCCCTGCTAGGATTTTTTTTTTATGTAACCGAAACATTTCTTTAAAACTAGGTCATCATACCCTCCATCTTTAAGTCTTTTTCATCTGTCCAAACTCTCTGCAGTGCTGTACATTTTTTAACAACTGGCTGTAAATGAGACTCCTTGAGGCTGAAGGGATGATAACTGTGGTATTGTGAGAATGTCATCCTATTACGAGGTTTTCTATTAGCCGTGGTTGTAAAAAGACTACATTTATTTAATTCACAGATTGAAACTGATTCATTGCTGCATTCCAAGAAAAATGCAAGCTTAGAGATAAACTTGTACTCTTCAAGTACATGATTGCTCTTCAGGAGTGCACGCTTTGAATATGTTATCTATATATTAAACCAACATTTTGACTTCGGGTCAAAAGGATTATTGTGATAAACATGGCCTTCAAGTTTGATTTTGGCACAGTTTGGTGCACATTCACTACCCATGCCAAGGTCCTTCACCTTGATGATATAAAGAATATTCAAATCTTAAGTATTTTTTATGCAACATCAGTTTTGCAAGACCCAACGAACCTGTAAAGGTCTGGAAGTTTCTCCCATTCAGAAAATATACAAATGCCTTTTAAATCGTCTTTCTGGAGAACAATAAAGGCTGACATGGTGTGAAACAAGCTTTGAAATGTCAACAATTGATGTTTTGTGATGAAGGAAACCATTGTTATTTTGAGGTAAGATGGAAGCTGAATAGCAAGTGGTTTAATACACAAATCACATCTTGAAAAGGGATCTTTGAAAGACTTAATTATGCGTAACTGTGTTAATTTCTTGCTTAACATTTTCTTCTGCTGGTATGTTTATTGTGTGTTAACCCCAGGTTTCCTCGGTGGATCCACAGTGGAGACATGTCAGCCGTGTCCTCCGGGTCACTTCTGCAATCAAAGAGGCGGGACTGAGCCAAGCGGCCACTGTGTGGAGGGCTACTATTGTCCTGAAGGACAGACCTCTCAGAGACCACAACCTCATGTCTGCTCACTTGGACATTATTGTGAGAAGGTCAGCCATGCTCCATTAGTCCTCAAGCTCTTGTCAGTCATCGCTCCTGAATTTTGTATGAGATTTCCTCACAGCAGAGTGCTCTGGTATGACAAGCACATTACTATATGCTGCAGTCAATTAATGTCGTCTCCCAGACTGGGTCAAGACTGTCTCAGTCTTCTCCTTGTGCTCTTGTCTGTCTCCACTCTTATCACTGCTCTGCAGTTATCACAGCTGATAGCTGCTGTTCCCCAGGTGTAAAGTCTTGTAAAATCATTTTAATTGTCATTTCAGGGCAGTGCAAGACAGACACCCTGCATTCCTGGCAGCTACCAGCACAGACGGGGCCGAGGGACCTGCGAAACGTGCCCTCCTGGCTTCTATTGTCAAGATCAGGGTAAATCATAGCTTCACACTTTTAGCGGATGAAGAACTGAATTTTGATTAGCCTTCTTTCATGTCGTTTTTAATGAGAGCAAAGGAAATGTTTCTTTGGGAATTCTGCACCAACACAGGAATGAGTCACCCGCTTCCCTGTGAAAGAGGACATTACTGCCCCTCTGCCTCAGCAAGTCAACGTCCCTGTCCATCAGGGACCTATGGAAACTTGTCAGGACTTGCAGAGCAGTCCCAGTGCACACCGTGCGACCCCGGCATGTACTGCAAAGGAGCAGGTAACATGGAGACATTCCTCAAAATGTAAGGGAATTACACTGTGCAGAAAGCTTCCAGAAGTTCACAGCCATTCATCACCAGCATGAGTGTCATGTCATTTTGGGCTTTTTGTGATTTGTTTGAGATGCTTATTTTTCAGAGTGGAATGATAGAATAGATTCACTTGAAGACTTGCTTTACTCTAGTCAGTGATGCTGGATTTCCAGCCTTATGAAGTTTATGAAGATTTATCGTCAGAAACCGATCAGAATTTGGGTTTGATGGTCGAGACCTCGGCACAATTGACCTGGAACATTAGAATTGGCTTTTAAGAAATGAATGGCAAAGACTAACATAAACCTTTTGGGATCTTAACCGCATTCAAATGTGTGTGTTATGCACAGGAGCTGAAACACTGCCAGAAAACCAACATTTTGATTAAGGTCTACCAGTGCTGATTTAGAGTGGACAAATGTGCACAAAGAATTATGCCATAGGCTTGCTGAAGGCTATGAAAACAGCCTTTAAAGTTCATTGCCAATGTTGTAACATCCTCCCATTTTGGAAAAACACAGCTTCAAATGAATTGTTAAAAGCCTAAAACGAGTATGACATTGATCCGCACAGCGAATGTCTGCCAAATTCAAACAGACTTGTGGGATTTAAATGAAGTGCTAAAACGTCGGATTGATCTTGGTGCTGTACTGTTCCTGTATAACAAAACATTTAAATGTGCTTCCAGGTAGGACTTTCCCCAGTGGGCTTTGTGCTGAGGGGTACGTTTGTGTCGGCGGCGCCTTTGAGCATTCGCCATCAGACAGTCTGACAGGATTCCCATGTCCTCCTGGGCATTACTGCCCCATGGGGACTTCTGCACCAAAACCGTGCCCTAAAGGAACATACAGGTGCAAATTGAGTTGTGTCTCTTCAACCTTTGAATATCTGTCCTTGGCACATACTATGTTATCTGCAAAATATGACTTGATGTGAAATTTAATTGATTTTTGAGGTTTTGAGAATGTGATAACCTAGATTTTTGCAAAGTTGTTTAAGTATTTACATTTCTTTCCAAGTTATCAACTTGTTAGTGAGGTTTCTTTTTACAAAGATACAAGCAAAAGTAGCAACCCTAATTGTCCTGCGTATCATATTCAATGTGTGTTTTCAAAACGTTTTGTGACAGTGAGCAGAGTGGGCTTGGAGACATTTCTCAGTGTCAGAGCTGCAGTCCTGGTTTTTACTGTTCAGAACCTGGTCTCTCTTCAGTCTCCGGTCCCTGCCTCCCAGGTAAACATGATGCCTCCCAAACTTATTTAAATTTTTTTGCAAAAAATGTGTCCACCAAAGCCCTGGATCCTCTCTTTTGCTCCCGTCTTGTCTGCTAACCCCACAGGTGCTCACTCTGCGTGGTGGTACCAAACGTTGTGTTGTTTTATTCCAAATGATTTAATCTTATTTTTAAATCTTAAAGTTGTACAAATTTACACCCACCATAAGGTGCTGCAAATTAATATTCATAAGACACCTGATTCAGTTTGTTAAACTTTGTTTATGCCTCCAGGTTTCTACTGTCTAGAGGGTTCTCAGTCTGCTTCTCCAGGGTCAGGTGACTTTGCAGGTATTTGTCCAGCAGGCCACTACTGTCTGGAAGGCACCAGTGTTCCCTTACCCTGCCCAGCTGGTTTCTACCAGAATAATCCTGGAAGCAAAGACAAAGATGACTGTAAACCCTGCCCACCTGGTAATCCATAGCAAATTTTGCAAAACCTCCCATTTTAAGTGCTACGAATTGATTTTTTACAGTTCCCGTAATAATGCTTCCTCCAGGCTGGTTCCAGGATTTGCCGGGGCAGACAGAGTGTATTCCCTGCCCTGCGGGATTCCACTGCCAGCCTCTGAGTCCTGGTCCCACCAGAGGGACTTCTCTCGGAGTTTCCAGTCCTCTGCCCTGCCCAGCTGGACACATCTGTCCCAGAGACAGCCTGGACAATCAGCCTGTTCCGTGCCCTAAAGGAACCTACAGCTCCAGCCAGGGTCTTATCTCTACAGGTGGAAATCAGATGTTCCTTTTATTAAGTTTTTATTAATTACATTCAGCAAATTACAGTTATCACACCCCAAGCACTTTTAACAGCACGTCCGCACTTTATGCTGATGAACTGCATGAGGTAGATAGGTAGGTTGTTTCGCTGTTTGGCAGCTGATGTCACAGCTGCTGGTCTCTTTCTTTGCAGGTCAGTGCTTAATGTGTCCGGCAGGCCATTTCTGCGGATCCGAAGGTTTGGTGGAGCCCTCAGGATCGTGTGCGGCAGGTTTTCTGTGTCTGATGGGTGCAAAGGTGCCAAATCCAAGCGACAACATGACAGGATCTCTCTGTCCGCCGGGGATATTCTGCCAACGGGGGCTTAGAGCAGGTAGATGGAATCTAATTGGGATGAATCGAGAACAAATAAAAAGTTGTCATTTCTGTGGTAGTGTTAGAATACATATAAACCAGCAGTGAACTCATTTCGTCAGGTGATTGCCAGGCAGGGTTTTATTGTGACTGGGGGTCCACCAAAGCAGATCAGGCTGTGTGCCCAGCTGGTTTCTTTTGCCCCAGTGGAACAGCAGTCCCCTTAGCCTGCCCTCCAGGAACGTTCAGCTCCGAAACGAGCAACACTCACCAAGACAACTGCACCGCCTGTACACCTGGTTACTACTGTCAAGGTGAGAGTCAACTCATTGTTCTAACACAGTGTGCAGCAAAAGGAGCAAAGATGTGATTACAGAGTTTTTGTCTTGAGTTAAATGGATGGAGTTAGTCAATGTGTTGTCTTTTTATAGAAGCAACAAAGTAACAAGTTCCCAGGATGCATTTGGTTGAGCAGCTGATGTTTTCTTTCTGGTGTGTCTCAGATGAAGGTACTCTCCAGCCTGTACTTTGTCCTGTTGGACATTACTGTTCTGCGGGGCAGATTTTAGGGCATGCGTTTCCTTGCCCACCTGGCACAGTACAGAGGAGGCTTGGAGCGTCCAGTCCTGATGCTTGCAGTCCCTGTCCTGCGGGTTAGGGAACAGTTTTTATTAAAATAGTTTCTCCCAATCATCTAATCAGAAATATACTTTGGAAAATATTTGTGTGCGTCATGGATCATGTGTACTATTTAATTCTTCTTTGTATTGTGTTTGCAGGAATGTTCTGCTCTCAGTTTGGTCTGTCACAGCCCTCAGGTCTGTGTCAGGAGGGATATTTCTGCCCTGCAGGATCAACCAGCCCAAACTCCACCGAAAGTCAGGTGTGAGGATTTTTAGTCTATATTTTTTGTTAATTGCGCCTTTGTTCAACTATAGGTCTCATAAAATGTAACCTTGCTACATTAAAAAAAATCCTGTCTTTAAGCTTGAGTAGTTTGACGGGATTCATTGTTAAAAGGACCTTCGTAATTTGTTCTTGTGTGCATCCCCCAGATTTGTTCAGATTCTCCACAGTGGCTCTTAAAATGTAAACCGACACAAAAATGAGCAACACTTTTACATATCAAAGCTACGTGGCTCCTTCATTATTCTACCAATCGAAGCATATTTTGTTATTTTGACTAAATTAAATGTAGCTTGATAAGTTCAACACAATAAAAAAAGCTAAAGTGCACAGCTAATCTTTTCCCCGATGGAAAGTAGGTTTTATGGCTGTAGAGAAATTTCATAAAGTAGGGGAGAGGGTCAAAAGGACTCTGGATCTTCAGGCCTGCTGTCTGAACCTTGCTCTGTTTGTTAAATTCACTAAAATTTTATCCACGGGCAACATTTAATGTCAGAGTATGTAAGAAACATAACAAAATAAGTTCATCTATTTACCATACCAACTGTTTAAGAAAGTTAAAAATCGTGCTGTTATTAATAACTTTGCTTACATTTTTCTAATTTTTCTTCCAGAGTAATTCAACCAACCACCATCTCTGTCCATCTGGCCACTACTGTCCATCTGGCAGTGGTCATCCTCTGCCTTGCCCTGTTGGCTCTCTTGCCATTTCTCAAGGACTAAAAGCGGCAGAAGAATGTCCGCCCTGCCCTCCTGGATTATATTGCGACAGTCCTGCAATGTCCGACCTCTCTGACGCTTTGCCATGTCACGCTGGGTAAAACTTCCTGACCTTTTTCATATTTTAAAATAGTTGGTTTTTAAATGTAATAGAGTTAAATTTCATTATGAATGTGCTGTGAATTTGTAGCTCTGAGATTTTTTTTTTTTATTAAAACAATCTCGTGCAAATTGTAATGCACATTGGCACTATTGGATAACCTGAAATGTGAGGTTGGTAAGGTTAAATCAGAAGCATTTAGCACACTGGCTCGCATTTATCAAAAAAAATCACTTGGCAGAAAAATAGTTGTGGAGCTCAGCTGGGGCCTGAAGCTCCGAGGAGGAGCTTTGGGTAAATCGGTGGAGCATTGTACACCCCGAAAGGCTGCTGTGGGAGATTCAAGGATTTCTCAAACATGCATGAATGAGTCAAAGCAATACTTTGAGTATGCTTTTAACGCTTTCATGCATAGTGAAAAAAGCCATTTTCTTGTGCTCCTTGTGGATTTTCATGTTATAAATGCACACAGACCACTGACATGGACACTAATGCATCATAAAATACATCATCATCTACTGGCCATCAGCTGCAAATGCAAGAAATTGTTTTTGTTAAATCCAATATGGCTGACAGACAGAAAAGCATGCCGAGTCAGGTCTTAACACAAGTACTCATTTCTTTAATCCTGAACTCACTCAGTGAGCCTCATTATATTCCTCGAGTTCAAGAAATACAGTCAGTTTTTGACAAATAATTATAAATTCTCCTTTTTTATATATATATAAAGCTTTCGATGTTCGAGGCCCACATGCTCAACCAGAGAGTTTTACTGTAGCCAAACCAATAATTGTAACGATCATCATTTGAAGTGCTTGGCACAGCCTGACACCCTTCCAAAAGTGTTTCGCTGGAGGGACACTTTCCCGCCGACAGTCTACTCGGCTTTGCTAATGCATGCTCCCAGTAATCTTTTATTTCATATGAAGTTTGTTTTCTTTGTTTACGCCTACAGATATGTTTGTTTGAGTGGAAGCTCCAGCCCCTCTCCATCCGACGGCTCCCATGGCTACCCCTGCCCTGCTGGCTACAGCTGTCCTGTTGGCTCAGCGCGAGAAGTGCCCTGTGAAGCTGGCACTTACAGTCCTGCTCCCGGAGCAGCTCGCTGCTTGGCCTGCCTGAGAGGAACCCTGTGTCCCTCTTCAGCTACTCGAGAGCCCTCCACCTGCCCAGCCGGTACAAACTCATTTTGAATCAGCACTGTGAATTCTTGTGGTTTACTCCTTTGGGTGCAGGTGCAATATGTTCCAGCCATCCAGCTCTTATTTCTCTGCTGAAAATGTATAATTCCTTCTTTTCTCAGGCCATTTTTGTCCTGCTGGGACAGTGGTGCCTCAGGCATGCCCTATAGGAACTTTCAATAACCAAACAGGAGCTCATTCGCTCTCTGCCTGCTTGCCGTGTCCTTCTGGGGTCTACTGTAGCTTACGTGGAGCTTCTGCTCCGCACGGTAAATGCACACTCAGACTCACTGATTTTATTTCAAACTCATGCTGATGTCTGTTGATTCGACTTGCTAGAGGATATCAAGCTGTTGGCGTTGATGGGTTTTGTGTAGCTCCATGTTTGCAGGGCTACTTTTGCCAAGGTGGAGCTACAGTGCCGACACCCGAGAGCTCCGAAACCTTCCTGAGGAACGGCCTCTGTCCGGTGGGACACTACTGTCCAGCAGGGTCTCTCACCCCACTCCCATGCCCCGCTGGGAGTATCCGCAACGCAACTGGTACATGCCTTTATTACAACACCATCTAAATTGAGTCTCAAGAATATTTATTGCCCTGGATTTTGTCTTTTCTTTTTTGTGTTTTTTCTCATTTTCTATTGAGCTTTTCTTTGAACAGTTGCAATGGAGAAGTATCAGCAGGTTTACATCCTTGGACAATTGTTAGTTTTTCGTGTCCATATAATCAATCCATTTTTTCCTATTTCCTAATAAACGGACCCCCTTGAAGTCTCAGTTTATATATCTGTGTTTTTATCACAGATATCGCCTCCACAATGCACAGTCACTGGTTGATCCTATCTTATATTCCTGTGATGACTTTATCACTTTTTTTTTTTTTTTTTTTACCAAGTATTCAACTTCTTTTTGTAGTATGTCATGTGTAAGACACCCCAAATAGAGTGTCCTACATGTTCTGAGTATTTTTTCTCCTATTATTCTTTTCAGAGTTAGACATATTTTACGCATTTTTCAATTCCACAATGAAACGGAGCTTGGGCTGTTTTGCAAAGAATTTTGACTCTGGGTGTGAAAAGCTGTTTAAGCCATATCTCTAAAAGACTGTTGTTCTGGTGAAATGTGGTTTAAAAATTGTTGGCCAATCCCTGGTGAGGCGTTTGGGGCTCGTCCCACTGCGGGGGGAGACCTGGAGGAAGACCCAGGACACGCTGGAGGGATTATGTTTCTCGGCTAGCCTGGGAAGGTCTTTGGATTCCCTTGGAGGAGCCCAAACGGCAGGAAGTCTGGGCCTCTCTGTTTAATCTGCTGCCTTGACTCAACCCTGGATTAAACTGATGGATGGATTGGCTGATTGCAAACTTTCCTATTGACATTCAGCTAAAGTTACTGTCTGCAATAAATCCTTTTACAAAGCACATTATGAAAAAGCTGAACATGTGATAAATTCAGTTGTTCAGCTGCCATCCTTGGTTCAAAGGCAGTTTGGAAATGTTTATTGTGTCACTATATACAACAAGTACTTTTTTTCTGACTGTAGGAGGCGTTTCCATGGAAAGCTGCTTCGCCTGTCCTGCTGGCCACTACTGCTCCTCCGAGGGCCTCGCTAGCCCCAGTGGTCCATGCTCTGCTGGGTTTTATTGTCCATTTGACTTCTCCTCAACTACTCCATATGCCTTCCTCTGTCCCAAGGTATGTTTATTTATGCATGCTTCAATTTACACTTTCGCTTTTTTTTTTTTTTGTCCTCTTTTCTGTCGTTGGATCTGAATACGCCGCATCGTTTATCATTAATGCCCTGCCAAATTGGATGCGTCTCCTCGGATGTGCCTCTTATTGTGTTCTCGTCATCCCAGGGCCACTTCTGTCCTGAGGGATCAGCGTTGGCCTTGCCTTGTCCTACCGGAGAGTACCAACCGAACCCGGGCTCCGAGAACTGCGTCCCGTGCCGACCTGGATTCTTCTGTGAGGAGGCCGTGGTGGGAGACCCGTGGCCCTGCCCCCCATACTCGTTTTGCCCTGCAGGTGGGATATTGAAAGTTTTATTCCCAACAGGAGGAATGTAACTATTATTTTGCTACTGTGACTTTTTCTTTAGGGACAATGGTGCCACAGCCCTGTCCTAACGGGACGTACACCCATTCCAACCAGACTGGGCTACAGGAAGAGGAGGAGTGTTTGCCTTGCCCTCCAGGGAGGTTCTGCAGGTCCTCTGGAAGCAAATGCACCATGCGTTGCACGTGTCTCACTGTCACACTCTATATTTAGACCAACACTCCACTCACATTATTTGGCACATTTACATCCTACATTCACCAACACATGCTGGAAGGCTGACTTCATCTTTCACTTTACAGGCAGACAGCAGGAAACTATATCATATTGAGAAATTTAGTCGTGCTTGTTATGCACTGCTATTATAACTGATAAAAATGATGCTGTTAGAAAGCAAATTGTTTTAAGTACAATTCTATTCATTTAAGTGCACATTTTAGTACCTACCAATGGTTTTGTGTGTTTGATTTGGTCATGTTTTCATAGGGCTGGTAAGATCCAGGGAGTTTGCGCTGCAGGATATCTGTGCATTTCTGGGAGTGCAGAGTTCACCCCTCAGGGGTCAATGTCTAACATGACCCACTGCCGGTGGGGTGTGCAGTGTGCCGGCCCATGCCCACCAGGTATTATGCATCAATAAAAAGTTCCTCAGTTTCTTTTGGTCCTTGAAGTTTCCAGTTATCGATCGTAAAAAGAGCTTTTTCTTTTTCTTTATTTAGGCTTTTATTGCCCTGAAGGTGCAGAACAGGCGCAGCCGTGTCCTGCAAACACAGTCAGGAGCTTCGCAGGGGCAGTGAGTCTGAAGGACTGCTTACCCTGCCCTCCGCAGTATTGGTGCAAACCTGGTAAGTGATGGCACGCGTGCCGGAAAAGTTGTTCATTGTGCAATCAAAAATGTCATCGTAATTTACTGAGATTTTTAGACTAATAGAAAAAAAAGTGTGTGCATTTAAAGTGGAGTGAAATGGCTGTATGCTTTACAAACCGTGCTTGCAAATTAAATCTGAAAAGTGTAGAGTGGAGTTTTATTCAACTTCTTTGGGGGTATGTCTGAAATGTTTGGGACAAGCAAAAAAAAAAAAAAAAGTTCACTTAGTCTTATTTAAAAAATTGTTCAACCGCCTCACACAGCAGTTTGCATGTGATAACCACCCAATAATTAAGTTTTGTTATCTGACCAGAGCATGTTCCTGCACTTCTTCAGTGTCCTCTCCATCACGTGTGGCAAACTGACAATGGTAGTTCTTATTCTATGGTAATTTTGTAGTTGGTGTGAGCATATGGAGTGCTTCTGTAATTGCCTCTAGCCTCGTCGCTGAGATTAGGTTGGGGAGCTTTGTCTTGGTAGCTTTCGGTTGCCAGATTAAATGGCTCGTTTTGGCTGATGGATTGAACAGTTCTCTGTGAGGAGGTCAGGGTGTTGTTTTACCATCTAAACATGCTTTAACTTCACCACAACTTTATCCCTGACCCAGTGAGTTTTGGTCTTGATGATGCTGTTTGTTCACTAATGTTCCCTAACAAACCTCTGAGACTTTCAGACATTCTTTGATGATTCTAAAGTTGCATTGCACACAGATGGACTCTATTAACTGTTTGAAGACAATTGATTGAAATTCATTTTATGGTATCAGAATATGGGATACAATACCCACCGCACGTTACAAATGTATGCAAGCAAGTTTCTGTTGGTCTATTCAATACAATCCCAATAAAACTGGTTACAGTATTCAAGGGTTAGGGTTAATTTTGCTGAATGCACAGCATCTACTTGCAGTATTGACTGAATGCCTGTAAGAGGGACTTCATGCGTCTCACATGAACCATTCAAACTTTGCAGCAACATCAGTTGTACCACGAAATCATTTTTGGGTGATTACTGTCTGGGGTTTCCTTGTTTGCAGGAGATCCAGCCATTCACCTGTGTCCGCCTGGTCATTACTGTGACGGTCTGCCCGGCAGTGACTTCAGCGGTGGTACCGGACCCCGGCCGTGCCCCGTATTTACTTACCGAGCTTCCCCAGGAGCGGGCAGCAAGGGTGACTGCCTGCCCTGTCCTCCTGGTTCGCACTGCAACACCACAGGTACCATGCAAAGACCCTTTAGCGAATGTTTTAATCAAACATACATTATTGTTTTTATTTCCCTTACTTCTATCCTCTCTGTTCTATTGACAGTAACAAGGTGAAGCTCACCTTGTTATACTGGTGGACTTGAATTAGAATTTTTATATTTTAAATTCATTCACGGCAAATTTTTATGCAGTTATTTTCATATATGTGTATATATATTTATATATGCTCGCTCACTATAATATTTTTGCCTCTGCCACTGCCTGAGATAAGAGTAAAAGAAATGCGATGCGAGGGGAAGCTCTGAATTTAAAACTTGCCACTTGCGGCCACAGAAATAAATGAGTTGTGGAGTTTCAGAGAAGAAAAAAATCTTTCTAATCCCCTTAACAAAAGCTCGAGGCTTGAAACTAAACCCTATTGTAATTTCAGCTAATGGATAATGCTCAGCAGATAGTTTCCCTCCCCGTTCCTCTACAGGTTTGAAACGACCTCCCTTTTTAAATAACGAGAAGCAAGGAGATTCACGTTTGAAACAGTAATTTTAATATATCTGAACCCTGAGGGGGACGTTACTTAATTTTAAGTTCCGTTGAATGTGTGAGGTTGATGATGCTGCAATTTCATTCCTTCCTCCAGGAGGTTTCACTTAAATTTAATGTTTTTTTTTATTCTTTCAAATTTAACAGCCAGGTAAGTGCTGCAGTTGCCATCCCCTCAAAATAGGCTGGTTGATGACTGGAGTCGAAAAAATATAAAAATTAAGTGCAAATTTCACATAAAACATATTAAGTGTGACAGGGAAAATATAAAGAAGAAATCTCTAAGGCGGCAAGCACATTCCCACAGCACTGCATGTTTGTAGCAGTTTTCCTTTTTTTCATTTTTGCTTTTCACGCTGTTATTGGTTTCCCTCCTGATAGAAAATTAACGAATTTTAACGGCTGCCTGTCTCAAGCCTGTGCAAATTGAACAAGGGAGGGAAAAAAAAGAAAAAACTTCAGTAACAAAAACTTGCCAGTCATTGTAAGAAAACTAGATGAGTACAAATGTAATACGCCAATTTGGAGGAAAAACAATCTTATTTTGTTAAGAAGCCTACGAAATTCAAAACACATTTATAGGCTGGCCATTGTGGAGATTCATTTACCTCCATATAGCCTCCCTCTGACTTTTGGGTTTCTCTAGGACTTACAGAGTATACCAGTAGTCCCTGCCCGCCTGGCTTCTGGTGCAGTGGGACCGGACCCCCCATCCTCTGCCCAGCAGGGACCAAGAGGCCGCTTCCTGGAGCCGCTGCACCCAACCAGTGTGAACTGTGTGCAGGGGGAACCTTCTGCCCAGACCCTCGCGTGACAGGAAAGCCCAACGTGGAAGGAATCCCCTGCAGAGCCTCATATCAATGTCCCGTTGGTAGGCTTCTCTATAAATATTAACTTTCTAAACACATCCAGACGAGGTCCTGGTGTTGCAGTGAGCTGTTTGACTGCTCTCCAGGTGCAGTTTCAGAGAAGTTATGCAGAGCTGGCTCGTTCTGTGGACCTCAGACTGCTGAGCCTCAAGTGTGTCCAAAGGGTTATATTTGTCCCGAGGGATCGTATTCGTACGACACCACTAAACAACTGTGAGTACGTGAAGGATCCATCAAACTAAAGTGTGTGTTCAGACCCAAAAGCACCCTGTTAGTTTGATTTTAAAAAATAAATTTAAAAAAATCAGTTGTTAATATGTGGACTTTAGTTGATTCTACAAGGGTTGGATGAAAGCAGCTTTATAAATAAACGTTTTGCGTCACCCCACAGATGTCCGTTTCCCTACTACTGCCCTGCCAACAGCTCTGCCATGAAATCCTGCTCTGGAGGATCCATGCCTGTCAGCACGAGCGCTCTCAGAGGGTCACACAGCAGCAGCTGTAGCTTGTGTGAAGGTGGCACTTATCGTCTGTATCTTTCCCCGAGTCTGCAGTGCCTCCCATGTCCACCGGGATATTACTGCCCTCCAGGTGCTGAAATAAAGAAATTCTAAATTATTATCTTTTGAATTTCCAGTATTTGATTGTTTTGTTTTGTTTTTTTGTTTTTTTTGCTGTTGTTGCGTAACTTCATAAAGGCACAGAAGATTACAAAGCTCATCCCTGCCCTTTTGGACATGTATGTGGGAAGGGTTACGCCCAGCCGATGTCCTGTCCACCAGGCACGTTTGGTAACCGTACCCGTGCAGAGAAACTGGACGACTGCCACCCTTGTCCAGCCAACACTTTTAACCACCTGCCTGCCCAGAAGGCTTGCTTTCCTTGTGGCAGCTCCTCCTTCTCAACACCTGGTTTGTTAACAAAATAAGTATAGAAATAATATTAATCTACTTTTATTGTGACACATCGTACAAAAACACAGTACTTTAAAATTGGATACAATACTTTTCTTGTTTAATTGAGTCACTTTTAATCAATATGTATATAAAAAAGTCAACTGATGTGAAAGTTGTTTTTCCTCTGACAGGCAAAGTTGTCTCAGCAAGTGTGTTACAGAATGAGAGTTTAGCATCAGGACTGAAAGAAACTCTTGAAAATGAGATGTATTTATTTATTTATTTATTTTTAGTTTCTTTACGTAATCACAAAACACAAAAGTTGTTTTACATCTGGAATCAATTTAGTCATTAGGTTAAGAGTTAATTAATAGTTAAAATAAGCAACTTCTGCTTTTGCTGGATTTCAAAATACACTATCTGTACTATATGTAATGACACCAGTTATTTCTTTCAACTTAAAAAAAGTTTAATTTTTATGATTTTACACTATTTCTTTTTCCAAAATGACATTTTCAGGTTCCGTCTCGTGTACCTGCGTCGGGGAGAACCGGGCTTTCCAGTATTCTGATGGGTCGTGTCTGTGCAGAACCGGTTTCATCTACTACAACGAGCTGGACTTTAAAAGCTCTACTTCTGACAGTGGATTAGACTGCCAGCCTGAGGCCAGTAAAATTACATACATAGTTTATACTGAATATTTAATAAATCTTACAGAATATAGCGTTTACCAGAACACTTGTATTAAGGCCGATATTTGTGATTAAACTTATGTATTGTTTTCTAAGGATCCAAACAGAAGTGATGCAACAAACAGCAACATGCTCGTGTTTGAAGCCAACTCAGATGTTGGTGTCTCTGATTTTTTTTCTTTTGTGTGTGTGTGTGTGTGTGTGTTTTTCAGGTGAGCAGACGGTGCAGCACAGGAGAAATTCGAGTAGCTGCATCCAGAGAGTGTGTCTCGCCCTCCCTCCACTCCTGTAATATCACCTGTGGATCACATGGAGGAATCTTGGATGTGGAGATGGGCATGTGAGTCTTATTATTTTTACACATTTTTTTTTTTTTCTGATTTAGTACTGATTTAGTTTACCATGCAAAGCCTAATCCAGCCCGTGTCGCCCAGGTTTGAAATTTTCATCTTGATATGTCTGATATTCCCCTGTCTCCTGTCTTATCTGCGGCTGTCCCAGCTGTCGGTGTGAGCGATATGTGTCCGCCGAGGAGATTTGCAATGCTTCCTGCCTCTTCAGGCTGCCTCAGCTGTCTGCCGAGCTCACGCAGGACGGCGACTTGCAGCTCAGCCTTAGGGAAAGAGACAGCAGGGTCTGGGCGAGGGTGAGAGAAAGCTGGCAAAATGATGATCAGCTACACCTTAAAAGCACAGCAAATCATCCCATCCAGTCCAGTTATTTACCATGCATAAATCTGTTATCCTACATGTCCGTATATAACTGAGAAGGATATGTGAAAGCTGCTACCGGGAGATAAAAATAGACACAATGCATTATCAGGATTGTAATGATAGAGCCAAGTTATTTTGCAGACCGTATTGTTTGCTTGGAATAAGAATTTTTTTGGAAAGCTCTGCACAAGAAGTATTAGTCCCAAATTATTATTTACTGGATTAAATAACTTGCAGTTTCAGACTCTTTTTTTTTTTTTTGGATTGTATCTTGAGAAATGATGAATAATCATTTCTTTTTAACAAAAAGAAAAGGTAAAACTGAATAGTTTCTGATCTGTAATAGATGTCCACATATTTTTTACCAGGTAAGTCTAGCACCATTTAGGCTTATAGGGAAGGTGTTTTATTACTGTCAGAGGTCATGATTCAGTATGTGGATCCAGATGCGCAACTGAGAAAAAAAAATATTGTCACAAGAGGCAAAAAGGAGAATTAATTTTGATAATCTGCCTTTTTATAACAATGCAGGTGACATAGTTACTTGATTGTTCTGTAAAATGGCACCATGTACCTGGAACATACATAATACCTCCTTTAAACAAGTAAAGTTGTTAGAAGAAACATTTAAATAAAATCTTTTGACAGTCAACATGTCACAGCTCTGAAAATCTCCAGGTGAAGGTGCCCAGAAGGCTTCCTGATGAGATGTCCCAACCACATCAGACGACTATTTGTAGGGAAAGATTAACATTTTCTCTACGATCTTCCTCTGGATGACTTTTCTCCTCACCTGAAGCTAAGCTTAGCCACCTGGAAAAAAGTTATTTTTAGCCACTCACATCTGAGATATTTTCCTATCAGTCATGATTTATAGCCATGGGTGAGGTTTGGAACGATAGTGGAGGTTTCCACCATGACAGATCAGACGACCGCCTGCATTACAGCAGACAAGCCGCAAGCCGTCTTTCCACGTAAAACCATTTTCAAAATGAAATCTGGCAACACTGTCAACCAAACATGTTGCCATTGGGTGTAATCTCAACATTAAATAGGGTGAGATTACTTTACAAAGTGTCACGGCAAACATTCAGGTAACTTTCAAATGTATATATTTGATCAACAAAATTGATCAAATATTTTTCTTCTCATAGCACTGGTAAAAATATACTATTGTAGTAGAAAGGCGATAGTATCGCTTCTCACACACATTCTCATACACACTGATAAAATAGTTTTAATAGCAGTACAGTAGTGCAAATATAGTTTTATAAATATAGTTAAAGGTGCAAGTCTTACAACTGAGTAATCAGAAAGAAAACAATTAAATTATCTTTTTTTTCCCCCCCTAAAAACCATATTTATAAAATGATTTCACTAATACTATGACAAAGCGTTGCAGTGCCATTCTTGTGCAGTCGGTTTTTGTTTTCTACTTTCAGAAAATAGAAAATGTTTTGGGTCCTGACATCCACGCACAGACATCTGGAAGAGTTCACCTAGTGCAGTTTACCTCTGAAGGACTCTTTGGTTGGATTCCCCTCCAAAGAGATCTTGTCAATCTTTTCCTTTCAGGTAAGTTCTGGTCAGAAGTTTACATACACTAATCATCAGCATCAACGTCATAATTAGTCTCAGGCATTTTGTAATGTATTTCAACAATAAATCTTCCAGGCAGGAATGATGGAAAAACATGCAACTTAAGTGAATTTGAAAAAAGAGTAGGCATAATTTATGGTAGATATTCTTTTATCTGTATTGGTCAACATTATACTTATAGATTTAAGTACCATCTCTAATATTTGTAATGTGGAATTTCAAATTATACTTTCTTGCAAATTCCTTGTGTAAAAAGAAAGGATTCTTCTGTTTTACTCTAAATGTAATACTCAGTTGGTATCTAAGTACAAATTGTAAGTATAAATTAGTATATTTATTGACATAAATGATCTCCTCTTGGATTCTGTTTTAGTAAACATTGAAGTTATTGATCTGCTTGAATATTTCTTAAAAAAAACAAGATCAGTTCAAAGTTTCTCATATTCATGAACTGTTTTTCTTTTTGTTTTCTTTTTTTTGGTTTTAGAACCAATTGATATTCTAAATACAAGAAAGAGGAGAGACACTGAAGATGACGAGAATAAAACTGATGCCCTTCCTCGGATCCCGAATCCTATCGCCTGCCTTTACTTGGGTGACATGCTGGTTTTTCATCTTACCATCAACCACACTGGTATATTGTATTTTATTTACTTTAACAATCATTTGTCATAATGGTGAGATTACATATGTTTATTTTAGCTATTCCAATGATATTTTAACTGTATTTAAATCTTTAGATCGCCCTCTAAGCCACTTCCCAGTGTACCAGAAGGACCACCTGTTTAACAGTAACCCAAGCTGGGACTTTGGAGCCTTCAGACATCTGCAGATCCTCATGAAGCAAACAAAATTCAACTCTTCAATGTAGAGTCGACTCCACAGTTAACGTTTTCAAATTGCATTTTGCAAACACTTGTTTTTTTAAAATCTTTTCTCCTCCCTCCCAGGTTTGCCCATGTTTTCTCAGAAGCAGGAAAGTACGTGTTTGTGGACAGTGCTGTCCCTGAGTGGAGTATTGTTGTGGTGGTCAGTGGGGAGGGGACAGAATGTGACACCAGGGCTGCCGCGTTTCAACCCATGACTCCAGGACACTTGGTCAAATACGGCATTGTAAAAAATCACCGCCTCAACCTTCTGCCTGACTGGGGGCTCATTGTTGGCAAGCTGTTTTCATTAATTTTTTTAATGATTGACTTCATTGAGTAAAGTGGTGCAGGATTATTAAACACTGGCTGTGTGCAGGGATCCTGAGTCTGCTGTTGGTCCTAGTTGTAGTCCTGACCACAACTGTGCTGGTTCTGCGACCCAGCAAAACGAAACTCGTTCCCCACTGGAAGATAAGACCAAAGTGGCGCAGCCTCGGAGAGCCTTTTTGCCCAGCTGAGTGTGTTTGCAGTAGAGAAAGGTGTGTTTGGGTTACAGATACGCTAGAGTACTATTCAGGCAGTTTTTTCATACTACGTTTTTAAAACTGCTTATAAACTACATTATAGATATCGTATTTTTCGGATGATAAGCCGCTACTTTTTTCCCCACACTTTGAACCAAGCGGCTTATAGCCCGGTGCGGCTTTTCTGTGGATTTTTCTTCAACCACCAGGGGGCACTTTAGCAGGAAGTGAATCATTGGAAGTCAAAAATGGAAATCAAAGAAGAAAGTGCTGATTTTCATTTAGAACAAGCACATGCTAGCAGCAGGCAGGATGGAGAAATTTATTCAAACTCATATGATGGAGCTTTTAAGTTGAAGGTTATTGATTTGGTAGTACAGGAGGCAAATAGAGCCGCTGCAGGTAAGATCTGCGTGAATGAAAACATGATTCGGCAGGCGGAGGGCTGCATCCTTAATAAATCCAGCAGATTTATTAGGTTATTATGGAAAACCGCGAGCAGCGGAGAAACCAGGGGCTTATAGCCCGGTGCGGCTAATATATGTACGTTTCCATTTTTTTCTAAAACTTTGTAGTTGTGGCTTATAGTATGGTGCGCTCCAGTCTGAAAAATACGGTATTTTTATTGTCATTGCACAAAGACACAACAGTGAACTTGGCAACAAAATTTGTTGCATGGCTACCAGAGTACAGAGAAAAGAAAATGCAGAAATAAGTGACAATATATACACATCTACACATTTATGCACATATTTACATACAGATGTTTCGGCTTCAGGTAAAGAAACAAAGATGAAGCTAAAGCCTCTTATAACACGTTACAAATTAAAACAGTTTTATAACATGAAGAAAAAAAAGATTACTTCTTACTTTTACATAACCCGAATTTTCTTACTGCAGCTGTTTTCTTTTTATCCAAACATTATATATTTATTCTACTGCATAAATAATATATTGCACCATGTTAAGAAATAATTCACATTTATCTGTCAAAGCAACCAATATTGTCATAAGGTGAAATACAAAGTTGGATGAGTGGTACAGGAGCTCCTTAATAACTTGCTGGGGGGCTACGTTAATATTCGCACACAGCCAGTTTTCTATTTACTTACAATTGGACACTCATGTCTATTAACATTTTGTTTTCCCCTCTTTCCAACTAATAACAAATACAGAATTGATTCTTTTTAATGCTATTCTTCTGTACAATTCCTGCTCATTATATATTACCCACCATTCAGTTTGAGTTTTTTTTTTTTTGTTGGTTCCAAATTATAGATTAGGCCAAGATTCTTCACTTATAAGCCTGTGGTTATACTATTAAGACGATAATCAAATCAAAATTAGAAAGTTGAGTCATTTTATCAGCTAGAGTGAAACAGAGGGATTTAACCCTGTGGTGTCCAAAGTCAGTCCTCAAGGGCCGTTATCCTGCATGTTTTAGTTCCTTTTCTGGTAAAACACACATGAATTAAATGATGGTTTGTAAGCAGGTTCCTGACGAACACCATTACCTGCTGAGGACGTAGCTGGACCATTTGAATCAACAGTATTGAAACAGAGACACGTGTAAAACTGCCAGGACACCCGACCATAAGGACACCTGTGATTTAGGATTTTTTTTTCTTGCCAAGAAACACAATTATGTCTCTGCATCTCCGGCTGATTATGTTGTGATAACTGCCTCTGAATGGGCTGAATCTTCTTAGAGTAAGCAAGCTTATCACAGTGTCACTAGCATGTTAATGAGCTTGCAACATGCTCTGTGCATGCATAAAACGGAAATTGGTTTAAAGTAGACTGATCTGTTTAGCATTTCTATGCACAATGTTTTTCAGTACAAAATTTGCTCTACATTACATACAAGACTGGTACTTTCTGAAAGATAAACTCATACACAGTTGTTACTATGTTATTTCAAGCATTTTTCTGCTGATAGCCCAAGAAAATAAGCTCAGAAAATAAGACACTTATAGTTATCTACAGACTTTCCTTCCGACTATACTCCATATAGTCTGGAAAATAAAATCAGCTTCTCGATGATCTTATAAGAAGAACTATTTTAATCCCTCTATTGCCAACTTTGAGACTTTGTTACTATATTTTTCAAAAATTCTGACAAAAAACACTTCTGCATCTCACAAAACTGGTATTGGCAGGTCAAGCTTTAAAGGTTGTGATCGGATAGAGAACTGCAATTGGTGCACCTGTAGTCATATAATCCTTAATCAAAACATCTTGTGAAAACATGTGAGAGATTTTCAGAAATCTTTCCTTTATTCGTCTGTTTTAGCACAACTGTCCAGAGTCAAGGCGCCGTTCTCGCCAGTCGAGGTGTAGGCGAGGGAGCAGAAGCTGAGGAACCTGCAGTCATAAAGGGAGGTGAGCTCTGTTTGTAATGAAACCTTTCTCATACGAAACCATTTAATTTTTTCCTTAATCTGTCTTTAAAGATGCAGTAGGTAAGCTTAATAAAAATATTTTCTGTACATATTTGCTTAAAACTGCCACAATGTCATAACAGTGCAGTATGAGATGGATGCTTGCTAGCCTGCATGTTCACACCAGGAGACGCAGAGAGCAAGGAGAAGGGTGTGAGCGCCACATGCAGTGTGATTGGTTCGTTAAAACCCTCCTCCTGGCTCTGATTGGTTGGAGCTGGTGTATTTCTGCAGATGGCAGTAGGACCTCAGTGAGGAGACAGAGGAGCTTGATTTATTTTTTTTCCCCCACAGATCATCTGTCTCATAACACACTGTCAGGACAGTGTGTTAATTTGACTTATTATGTAAAAGCATATTTTAATTAAAAAGGTACCTATGCACTCTTAAAGACTAGAATGTCTTTTAAGAAAATATTTAAATCTTTAAGGAGGGGTTGTGGGCAGGCTTATCAAACAAAAAAAATTGTATTTTGATTAATTTCCATTTTAATTAAGAGTCTTCTGAAACACTTCACTAACTTTTCCTTCTAACTTTTCCTTTAGTGTTTGTTCTCTGCATGTGTAATCATTTGCTGTTATGCTCCACTGTCTGATAATGGTGCTGACCCTAATGTTACTCAGTTAGTGCGTATTGCATTATTCATTCAGCTTCACAGGATGGTTATAATGAGATCATCATCCATGACAGCTCCTAGTTAGCAGCCTATTCTGAATTAGATAGACAATAAAGAAAATAATGGGTAATGTTAGACTGTAATGACTGGTGCTTATATCATTTATATAAAGAGAGAGAGAGAGAGAGAGAGAGCCCAGTGAATCGACATGTGGTCAAATTAAGCAAAGTTTTTACTTCAAGATTCAGCCATATGCGAAGATCATTTCACAATTACTGATGATTAATTCTCTCATTTAGGAAGTGTGTCAGGCTGCCTGGATCTGGAGGAGTTTAATGTGAAGACTCTTTATGACAAGCTAGAGGACCAGAACCTCCACATCGCTGCCCAGCTGGCCAGACATCGCAAAGACATGCAGGAATTTTATAGGAATATATGCCAGCAGGCTGAATCACTGAAGGTTTAGTGGCTTTTTTTTTTTTTTTTTTTTTTTTCAAAAAGGGGGGCTTTCACTGAAAATATATTGGATGTATGAAGAAAACTGTACATTTTGTTTCAGGATGTGTTTGAAAATATGGATAGTAAAAACCTGAGTCTCCTTAAAGAGATTCTAGTCCACAATGTGAGGAAGGAAGTGTTATCACACACTCATCTGGAAGAGGGAGACAACCAAGGTGAGAATAAATGCACGTATTAAAGAAATAGTTAAGCTACATAAATCAAAAAATGTGAACTTTAAAAAAAAAAAAAAACACAATGTAATGTTATGGTCAAAGAAAGATAAATGATGTACTTTTTGGTATTCATAAAAGTAGATGGACCCATTAATATGATAGAAGCTGCAACCAGAAATTATAGTTATTATTCCCATTATGTCGGTCTTTGTCCAGCTCCGAAGAAGCTTCTGGATCATCTTATATTAAAATAATAAGGGGGGAAAAAAAAGAAATCTCGTTAAATTAGCGTTTCGTAATTTCATTCGGTATCTGCTGAAGGGATGGACGAACAGATGGACAGATTGTTTGCTGATGCCCTTCACTGCAGTTCCGGCTGCTGCTCTGAAAACACGGGCCGTCTCTTTGTATAAAATATGGACAACACTTCGGTGCAGTTTTGAGGTTCACCGCAGCACATCGCAGCATTCGACCATCTGTTGTGTGTAATCACTGCAGTCCCTCCTGCCTTACTCTGATTGCTCAGTTAACAGTCTGTGTCTGACTGTCTGCGGTATGAAAACCTGAAGATCAAGAAACACATTAGTCTGTGCTACAAGAATTTATCATTAAAAATAAGAAACAAATTTAACAGAAAGTAAAAATAACTGAAATTATATATGCTCTATGATATTCAAAATTCTGTCTATCACTTTGAGTATTTTTTTAGACTCAGCTGGCAGCATTATGCCAGGGTCTGTGTGGGTACCAGTGGTTCTGGTCAGTGGATTGTAATATCAATAAAATGGAGAACGTCCACATTTTTTCAGCACACCTCAACTCAACAACTAAATGTTTACAACTTGGACAGTTTAGAAAATTCAAACTTAACTACACTTAACTTAATAATACAGATAATCTAAGTTGTTTTTATCAGCCCACTCCACTCTCACACTTTATCCTAACTATAGGTGTATTTAAAGCTACGATCATAAATGTATGTGGTGCATCAGCATCATCATCATCAAGCAGCAGGTCTACTGATGTGTTTACAGAAAATATAAAGAAGATGCTGAGCATAACGCATCAAATATTCAAATCTTTAGAATAAACATGAACAATGAATTGAACACATTGCTTTTATTAGTAAAGCAATGAATGTTTGAACAAATTTTGGAGGAACTTATTCAAATTGGACAACTCTAATAAAAAAAAAGTCCTGCACCAAACCAGAGTAAAAATTAATCAATGTTAACTGCTCTCTCAAAAATACAATCCATCCTTCTCCTCTCTATTCTTTCATACCAAACAAGTTTTAATTGTTTCTCTGATTACCTTGATGATAGTAATTATATTATATTATATTATATTATATTATATTATATTATATTATATTATATTATATTATATTGGATGTGGATGGATGGAGAGAGGATCCAGTTTATGTCAAGCAAAATCACCATTTTCACTTTGTCAAATATTCACAGAGAGAATTGATTTCATGTGATTGAAATAATATAAAATCATCATAACATTGCATTGTAAAAATTATAAAACTGTTTTCATTTGTTGCTTTAATACGTCTAATCTTTCAGATGTCATTCAGTGGATGCATTTAGCCATATTCTTGTTCATAAGTTCATTCAGATTTTTCTCTATATGAACTATTTTGCTTCAGATTTTTAAAATGCCTTGTGTATATTCTGTATATTTTCATGGAAGCAGACATTTCCACCGGCCAAGCTGAGGCCTCCGTGTCTTTACTGGGAACTGTTCTCAGATCAGTCGAAGCTCTTTTATGCAAGCTGACAGGAGAAGCTTGGCAGAACCAGGATCTGCGTGGTCTTCCATATTGCCATGGTTCAAGAGACTCTGAGGCTCAGGTTGGATACATGCAGCCTGGTAACACCAATATGTGTTTTACACAGGTAATATAGACAAATTTGCCAATTGCTTCAAGCATACGTTGAGAATGTAAAAGCTGTATTCCTTTTTCGTTTGCTTTCTCCAGTGCTCATCAACGTCTCTGAATAAAGGAGAAGCTATTTCTCATGAGACAGGTCAGAAACAAATCTTTAAAAGTTGAGCTTTTTTTTCTCTCTCTCTTTTGAATAAATCAGGATAAAATAGTACTTGCTTTAAGATGCCGTTTCTCTGTTCTCCAGACTGTGCACAGACAGCTGCCCCTTGTTTCAGTGAAGACGATCTATCCAGATTGGTCACCGTATCTCCATTGTTCAAAACTCTGCAGGAGATTCAGCAGTCTTTACAGCAGCTTACCACAGATGAGTCATGTCAGCATTCCCATCCAGGTGCAAAAACAAAACTGTGTTTTAGCTTGAAAGTAAAATTCACTATGAACTACGTACAGTGCCTTGCAAAAGCATAAAACTTCACATTCATACCAGTGAGTACTTTTATTTAATCAACCAATGCAAAATAGTGCATTGTTGTAAAATAGAAATAAAATGGCAGAGTTTTAACTTTGTATTACCTCCATTTTCTGCATTCATAGAAATCTTTAAGCTTACATGTACACTTGCTTTGCAAATCTACAGAATGAAGCTTCTCCCTATTCTTCTTTCCAAAACAGGTAAAGATCAGGAAGAATGTTGGGAATTAATGTAAACATCATTTCTAGCACGTTAATGTCCTTAAGTCTAAACCATTCCACTGTACTCGTTGTATTTTGGGAGCTGATTTTAGACTCGTTAAGACTTTTCCTTCCCCTTACAAGTTTTCTTTCAAAGTTGCCCTGCATTTAGCTCCATCTGTCTTTCCCCAAGTCCAAACAGTTTCCACATTCCTGTCGTTGAAAAGCGTCTCCACAGCAAGAAGATGCCATTACTCTACTTCAGAATGGGGATGACTTGTGCAATCAGAGTTTATGTTTTGTCCACACACTATGCCTTGCACATTGGCTTATTGGAAACTGACAAAACAGGACTTCACGGGTCTTTCCTTAAAATGTCACTTTCCTTTTGTCTCTTCCCTAAACCTGAGATTTTCACAATAACAGTTGACAAATTCTTCCATCTGAGTTACCATAACTTTCTTAATTGCTTTTCTGAGAGCAGCTCTGCTACAGTTTTATAATGTTAACCTGCACTAAAGTTCACCACAGAGTTATCACTGACACCACTCGTCGTCCTGATGGTGTTTATTCATTAGATCACCATGTAGTGATGGACAGTGATTTTAAAGCACAATATTCAAGTACAGGCCATTTACCATTCTGAAGGCCATTGGTGGCACTTAGTTGTTTCAGGGGTTAATGAAGAGTTGAATTACAAATGAATACCAATTAGATTGTTTGGAAAGATGTTTTTTTTTTTAAAAAAAAAAGAAACCCACAAATCATTTTCCTTCCATGTGAAAATTATGTTCTACTTTTACTGAACCTGATGAAATGCATTTACTGCAAGTTTGTGGCTGGAATGCAACAAAAGATGGGAAACGAGGGCTTGAATACTTTTTGCGAGGCACTGTGTCATAAATCCCAATGCATCAACTCCTGATTCACCATTTCTCTGTTTCAGCAGAGACGGGGCCTTCGGTCCAAGAGAACCACAACGAGCGTCTGATTCCGACTGCGCTGGACAGCCTGTCTCCACAGCACTCGGCTGTTTACCTTTTTGGTTGCCACGTGGTGCAGTGGCTCGCAGATTCCCCCACGTTCCCCTCTGTGCTTCTTTTACTGGCAAAGTCGGTTCCCTTTTGCTCATCTTCCTCTAATGAGAATCCCCTGGCTCTTTTCACTGGGGACTTCTATTTTGATCCGACCAATCAAATCCTTTATCTGTCAGAGGCAAAGCTTCAGCATGTGGGACACTTTATTGCTGTCATCCTGCTGTCCATGGCCCACATAGCAGTAGGTAATAAAAATAAAGTAAAAGAGAGTCCTGAATGTCATGCATAACATTATAGCCTGGGCAATCGTCTTTGAGCAGTAACTATGTAATCTTCTTCGGCAGCAGAAAAATTAATTTGTGTTTTGTTTTGTTTTTTGTTGTTTTTTTTTTTATATCCAGGATCCAAACCCCAGAGGTTTCTGCAAGCTCTGCATGAAGCCATTTCAGCTGTAAGCCTTCAGCTGTTCAACCTTTCTTTTAAATGGAGCCCAGCAGAGGTGTGTGAGAGCAATCTGAAGCTCACTCATCATCCTCACACAGTTTGAAATGTGGGCTGATAACTTTTTATTGCTTCTTTTTTTCCCAGTCTAATTTTGATGCATTAGGTGGGCGGCACGGGGCATTAGTGGAGCAATTTCTCAATATCAGAGTTCCCTCTGAAGCGCGCTTCACTGAGTCCCTGTTAGCTAGAAGGTTGGTGTGAAAAGCTGAAAATTACAGCGGAGAATGTGGGATGCATTTATTATAAGTAACTTTTCTCATCTTCTTCTACTTTAGACTTGAGAAATATAAGTATTTTAAACTGGAGGATCTTATCTGCAACCTCAAACAAAGATCAACTCCAAATGCGGGTATGGCAGCTTTTAATGTTCAAGTTCAAGTTATTTTGTCGGCTTATTGTTTTCTTCACACTTTTAGAATAAACAAGTGCAATATAAGGCACGCAAAGAACTTGCAGAGGACTTTGTAAACATTTAAAATTTGTCTCTCTACATTCATCTGCCATAATAATTAAAAATATTAAGTCTATTAACAGTTGACAAATTCATAAGAGGCAATATAGTTTAAAAATGCACAACAAAGTCCATCTGCGGTCTGCATTTTTTTTATCCATCTCTCTTTAATAAGAGGAGGTAGGTAAATCTAATCATAGACTTTGTAGAGCTCAGCAAATAGAGCATGAGCTTAACAGAACAGAAAAAAACGAAAAAATCAGCTGCTGAGATACTCTCACATAGCTCTGTTCAAACAAAGATGGTGTAAGCCTAGAAGAGCACACAGCTAGTGTGGTGATAAACCTCCTCCTGATGCTACGTCTGAGAAATGAGCTCTGCCTCTTCAGGTTTGTGTGTCTAAACCTAATTTATGAATTTAGTGCTATGTAGTAAAACAAATTAAGCATAGTATCAATCAAATGTTTTTTTTAAATATGTCTCAAGTCTTTAGGATGACACTACTTATATATAACATTGATTATTTCATAAAACAACATTTTTATACCTGATTAATCCTTCAGAGCTCTACACTCATGTGAACTCTTAATGAACAGTAATTCATTAGTAATTACTACTAGCTAGTAATTACTAATCCATGTCAGAGAAAAGCCAGGCATGCATTCTCATTCAAAAGCTAGCTCTGCACAGTAAAGCCAGTATTCAAAATAGAGAGAGGATATTATAACAGTAGAAATCAGTAGGGTTTTTTATAATGGCAGCACTAGGAATAAGGAATTCTCTGTTGCTTTAAATCAGGGGTCCCCAAACTTTTTCTTTTGGATAGATTTTTACCCAGAATGCAAATGGAAAAAACCGTGAGTGAAACGGTGACTGACGAGTATATATTCCATTGAGGGAAAGTAAGTTTCACATTTGCTCAAAAGCCCCCTGGTGGTTGAAGAAAAATCCACATATAAACCGGAAAATACAATATATGAAAAAAAACACTGAATGCTCTCTGGTATGAGCAGGCGGGCCGGATCCGGCATTGTTCAGGGGGCCGGACCAAATGACGTGGCGGGCCGGATCCGGCCCGCGGGCCGTAGTTTGGGGACCCCTGCTTTAAATGAAAGCAATAACACTGTGTTATGTTTTTCCAGTTTTTCATTTTTCCGTTTGCCTTTAGCAGTCGTTACAAAAAATCCTTAAATGTACTTCGGAAAAACTACACTTTGAATGGTCAATACAAACTTTCTCTTCTAGCACAGATTAAACTTAAAATTACTGTTTTATATCTTCAGAACGTAATCTATTTCGGGTCCAGATAGTGGAACAATTAAGTTCCATTAATCTGCTAGAATAATGCGCCTCGTAGATAAATGGATGAATCCATTTGCCATATCAGACTCTCTCTTTCTCATTTCTCCACTTCCACAAGCTATAAACATCATTAAACAATTGTGGGGTCTGGAGAGAAAGTCAATTATTGCCTCCCTAATGAGTTTAGAGAGCTTTTGTTTATGAGAAATGACCCAATATCCCAGCACCATTGAGTGCTGAAGGAGTGCACACAGGGGCTGTTGTTCTAGAAAAGCAACTACATACCGCTCTGTTTATTAACTGTTTATTTCATTATTAAATTTTTTTATAGAAATTAACAGTGTATGGTTTAATTTCCTCAGTTTTACCCCCAAATGGGACACCAGTGCAGGTAATGAAGCTACATGGCATAGATGGTTAGAAGAAAAGAAGCAAAGATAATTTCCTTTATGCCTTGCATAACATGATCCTTTTTCCCCAGATGTCATGCATAGAGGAAGAAATTGACCGCATGAGTGAATCTTTCCTGCAGCTAAGCATGCAGATGCAGAGGAGATCTCAAATAAGCACAATGTTAAAGGAGAGAGAGAACGGCGCTGCAGAAAAGGCGGTAATTAGAATGATTGGTTACATATTTAAAATCCTAAAAATATATATGATTTGTACATTATTGTTTAAACTGAATGGTGCGTTGTCCCACTCATAAGTGATTTCTTTCTGACTTATTTCCTGTGTCTTTGTTTTGAAGTTTTTGTCACAGATTTTTTTTTTTTTATTCAATACAGCCAAAATTGTTTAAATTCCCTGAACCTTTTCAATGTTTTAATTTTACAGTCACAAACCACTTTTTAACCCTTTCATGCACTGGTCACTACAGTGGACAGCTGTCTAAAAGCTATTTTCTTGTGCTTCTTGTGGATTTTTATGTCATAAATGCACACATACCACTGAAGTGGACACTAATGCATCATAAAATACACATCAACTACTGGCCATCAGCTGCAAATGCAAGAAATTATTTTTGTCCATCCAAATCCAATATGTCCGACAAGCCAACCATCCTGATCCCTCCTTCTACTGTAGACGACTCTTGCAGGTAAAAAAAAATAGTGTGACATCAGATAACCGCTAACGAACAATACTGCTGATGTATTTTTCAAATAACAACTTTGTATTTGGAGAAAGTTACAATTGATCACCTAAAAAAAAAAAAAAAAAATCCTATTTTTTTTATGCCTTAAAAAGATTTTGAAAAAATGTAAAAAAAAAAATCCTGACACAAAGGATCATAATTCATGCATGAAAGGGTTAATAAACTCTTGAAAAGGCTACTTCTGGACACCAGTCACATTGCAGTGCAGTTTTATCCCTAAGCAGCTCATGACCTCTGTATCTAAACATTTGTTTTGCTTTTATGGATCTAACAGTGAAAAAAAAAAAAAATCAGAAATAACAGTCCTGGCAATGTTTTTAGTTTTGGGGATTTGGAGTTTGTTATAGTCATGTTAAATAAAAATTCTCGAGCAGATTAAAAGAACAATTGACAGTTAATCACTCATCCTTACTGTCAGCAGATTCTCCAACTTGAGCTCTAATTTCTGCAGCTCATCCAGAGTTTCCATAAGAATTGACCAGGTGAATAATAATAATATCCTTGCCGAACTTGTTAGTTTGGGTGAACAATATTTTTTTTAGTAGATTTGCAGTTTGGATAAACTCTTTTCATTTCCAAATGATGACTCAACAATTCTGAGATGGGATATAGTAACTTGGATTATTGTTTCATATCCCTGCTTTGAACTTCTCTGGTCCTTTCTGCCTGACCTGTTTGTGTTCTTTGGTTTTCATGATACTATTAACAGACCTCATAGCTTTATATACTGAAACTTAAGCTGTTTATTCTCGTTAAATTACACATTGTTGTACTGGATTTGATTTATGTATAAAAGTAAAGTACTTCTTAGTTCTTCACTCAGCTGTATAAAAAAACAAAACAAAATTGTAACATGACAAATTTTGAAAAGGTTCAGAGAGTTGACTATTTTTCTAGACCCTGAACAAATAAGAGACACATTGCATTGATGTAATCACGTTAATGGGAATAATTACTTGAACAAATCCCTCCTTCATGTAGACGTAAATGTGCTCCAAGTCATTCTTGACATGGAAGATAAAAGCTCACATTAGGATGCATAAGTATGATGAATGAACAAGTGGTCTATTTTTGCAGTGGGAAACATCAACAAGCACGCCGAGCCTGAGTCGTGACGGAACGATCCTGTTGGAGCTGAAGAGATGTTACGTGTCACAGCGACTCGACGAGCTGCAAACCACATTAAACCAAATGAGACGTTGCCAGCTGCGTGGCGCCGAGCCGAGAGACGGAACGAGAGGCCGCGAGGAAAGCGACGACGGCTCCGATCGGCACAGAGAAAAGGAGCGCGATCCTGCCACGGAGCGCCGCAGTCCTCTAGACCGCCAGCGGAGTGCCGCTCTTTCAGCTGGTCAGAAACTCAGCCCACGCAGCCCGGACAGAGCAGAGGTCTTTTAAATGATAAAGCGGAGAGTTACATTTCCGACCAGCAGAGAAGCGGCTCTGTTCAGACCAACAATCCTGACGTCTTAATGGATCAAACTCTCCGGCGCACCAAAGATCAACTCCATTAAAAAAATAAAATAAAATCCCCCAGGGAAATCTAAAGCCTAATAGACAATTTTAAAGGAAAATAGAAAAGGACACAAAACTATTACAAAAATATATTTGATGTTTTGCTTTTCATTCAGATGGCAATGTCATATTCTTTCCTCTTCTTCTTCTGTAGCATTTGGCCTCTAATAGCTTTGAGCTAATATTGTACAAGATAATACATTTGTCTGCTAAAGCGTGATTCCAGTGACCTCAGTCTTACCATGCAGTTCAGCTGTGCCCTGCTAACTACCAGCGATAACAGACAGGAATATATTCTGGCAACGAGCCGCAGTATGACACAACCTGTAATATTATCCAGACAGCGTCTCTGTCAAGAGGTAATAAAGGGGAAGCAATATTGCCTTTAGAACAACCTATGTTAATTGTAATAATCTAATTTAGATGACAAACTAAAACTGAATTCCTTTTTTGTGTGTGTCTCCTGATAGCGTGTTTTTGTTTATATATTCAATAAATAAAAATCCAAGTTACTTGCTTCTGCCATTCAGAGGTGGACTTGCTTATTTGCTTTGGGGTCATTGTATCGCTGCAAAGCCAACATAATGCAATCTCAGCTTGAGATTGACCTCAAGGTCACAAACTGATGCCTGGAGATTTTTGTTAGAGAACAAAAAATGGTAACACGTTATTTGAAGGGGGTTGAATAAGACTGTCATGACACTTTCATAAACATGACATAACTCCTGTCATGAACATGAATAAGCCTTCATGAATATTTATGACTGTTGTCATAAAGTGTCATTCGGTAACTTATGACACTTTTAATACAAAGTTGACATTATTCAAAATGTCTTTGTTATGACAACTTGACATTAACCAGGAAATCATTACTGTTTAAACTTTACCTTTAATAACATAAAGTTACCTCATTTTTAAAGTGCAATCATTAATACTTTTATAACAAATTTATGTCAGTAATCATTTCTTGGTTAATGTCAAGTTGTCATAACAAAGACATTTTAAATAATGTCAACTTTGTATTAAAAGTGTCATAATTTACCGAATGACACTTTATGACAACAGTCATAAATATTCATGAAGGCTTATTCATGTTCATGACAGGTGTTATGTCATGTTTATGAAAGTGTCATGACAGTCTTATTCAACCCCCTTCAAATAAAGTGTTACCCAAAAAAATTATAATTTCCAAAAGATTATCCTCCAGCTCCTGTAAAAAGCAAAGCTGCCCCACACTATTACATACCCACCTCTATGTTTCTATATAAGCTGACATTGTTTTAGTTTAATGTCAGATTTAATGGACGCACAAATGTTAAAAAAAAAAGTTCTCCCTTTGTCACAGAATATTTTCTCAAAAGTCTTGAGGATTTGTGGAGTTTTTTTTTTTTGTTTTTTTTTCGTACAGAAGTAATTTGCCCCCTGCAGCTCTTCTCTAGGTGTTTACACTGCTTTAGATGTTTTCTGGGTTATCGTTTTTTTTGACCAACCTGAGGAGTTGCTAACACTCTCTTGGAGTAATTTTGGCCAGTCTACCACTTTTGGGTTCCATTTTGGTCTTCCTTTGTTGATAATAGCTCTCCCTGTGGTTTGCTGGATTCCCACAGCCTTAGAAATGTCTTTGTAACTCTCTCCACAACATGAGTGCCAGTCAGAGAGGAGAAACCTAAGCTTCAGAACCGCTGCTTTCTTCTGGGCCAGCGCTTTATCTAACACACAGGGTTCTGGGTCTTATAATAGAAAGTCAGTATTCCTACCGGGGGGGCTGTGAGCCAAATCAGAAGGTCAGATGGAACAAGTCTTCACTTAATATCAGTGTTAGCTTTCAGCTCCATGCCAAGTCCCCCTTGTAGAACCCAGCAATGCCCCGCAGCTACTTGTGGGTGCTTGTTTGTCAGTATGTGAGGTGTCGTTTAGTGACTGACCTGAGATTATGTGCTTATCAGTTAGATTAGCTTCTTTTGCCACTGATCTGACCTGCACGTCTGCTTCGCAGTGCCACAGACCCGCAGCAAACTGCTGGAGGAGCCCGCGTGTGTGAATCTGTGGGATGTTTTGCAGTTGTACCACATTACACTTGCTCTAGTTGTTTAGATCGCAACACATGGGTTATTTCGGGAAGATTAACTTCATGTGACATCTGTGTGGGTATGTTTCCATACGCGCTACGTTTTCAATCGTACGTTTGTAGGCTGCAAACTGTGCTCCCTTTGAACTTTTCCCCTCAATCAAGTCACGGTAACTAATCAAGTGAATGCGGACCTAATCTGTGTTTGTTCATTTGCTTGAAAACATTTTTGTGAGTAAACTACTGCTACTACAAAGTGCTGCACAGATGAAATCAATGAACATTCGAAATATGGAAAAGCCATAAGAAAAAAAAAAGACAATAAAATCAAACACATTTGCTCAAGATTTAGATTAAATGTATGATTAGAGAAGAAAACAAAATGTATCTTTATTCTTTCACAAAATCCACATATTTCAACCGCACACACGTTTCTTTTGAGATTCTAAGTGAATAACTGTGAAGAAGAAGAAAATCCAGATAAATAAGTCCTCAGAAATCACCTAATTACTAAACAAAGTTCACAACATTAGTGCCAGAAAGCCTAACTCTGAACACACAGTGTCCATGGTGATACATGGCAGTGGCAGCATCATGTTGTGGAGATGCTTTCCTTCCACAGGGACAGGAAAACCAGTCTGAGCTGATGGAAACATGGACGAAGCTAAATACGTGGCAACCCTGCAAGAAAACACTGTAGAGGTACCAAGAGGCTATTAAAATGAGTGACTGTAACATGACAAAATATTGCACAGTACTCTGGGTACGATTATGTTTGCGAGACACGCTCTTCAGACGCGGCGCGCAATGAAACAGTTAATCGTGCCGAAGGGTGAGTGATGTCTGGCTGCAAAAGCTGCAGCTTTAAGAGGTTTTTCCTGTAAGACACACATGAGGTTTACATCTCAGTTTCCATCATGTTTGATCCATGACTGCCTGCTGTAATCATGTTATAATCTTGAAATCCTTCCAAATCCCTGGAAATCTGCTCTATGGTCCTGCAAGCACTCTCACACACAACCCGTCCTGGTAGATATGAACCAGCATCTACACTTCTCACCACTTAAATTCCTCCATTTTTGAGCGCTCTCTCGATTTTAGTGTCATGAATATCTGCTCTCACAACAACTTCCTGTTTGAAAAGTTATGTCAATATATGCAGCAATCGTATGTTTATAGGCTGCAACTGTGCTCCCTTTAAATTTTTAATATATAGCGTTGGAAAAAATGAAGAGCTCACTGCACCTTTGAAAACCTGTTATTCCACCAAATATTGATTCCTGAACTCTTCCCGAGTTAGAACATTAGTGTTGTTGTTTCTAAATGAATATGAACTTGTTTTCTTTGCGTTATTTGAGGTCTGAAAGTGCTGCATCTTTTTCGTTATTTTGACCATTTCTCATTTTCTGCAAATAAATACAAAATTTTTGCTTGGAATTTCAGAGACATGTCAGAAATTCATGGAATAAAGAAAAACAATGTTCTTTTTACTCAAACATGTAGGTAGCTGTGAAAAGTAAATTCAGACAAACTGACCACTTTAAATGGTCTCTTAATTTTTCATGAGCTGCATAAATATGCAGATCTTTAAAGAGCAACAGTGTAAAACCACATCCATTCACTCTACACAATGTTGGGTTTTGTTTTTTTGGCTTCGGTTCTTGCAGCTATTAGGTCTGCATGTAAGGAAGAGAAATAGTTCTGAAGCTTCCTGTAGGCTTATATTGAGTTTGCAGTCTGTCACTGAGCAGGCCCTTAGTCACCATGGCACTGCATTACTGTTGCTATGGTTTCCTTATCTGCAGGATGTGGTTCAACCAGACCTGCCATATTTAGTCTGCTTCTCAGCAAGCAAGCCTGCTGCTGCTGGATGCACTTAGCATCCCTTGTTTTTTTCACTGTGAACAATGAAGCGGCTCTGTTGTGTAAATCTTTACTTTTGCACTTCTAGCACAACATTAACATAATTAACATCATGTACAATTACATAGAGGGGAGTGGTAAACCAGAAATTAGACTTCTTTATCTTTGAAATTACAAAATATTGAACAAAATAATGCTGACGAACCTCACTGAGCCTACATTCTTGTTTTGTTTATATAATCCGCTTATAGTTCCAGATACGAGATCTGCAGGATTAAATACTCTGAGATTATTATTGTCTCTCTTTAAGGCTTTATCACAGTTTGGTCTGAACCTGCCAGTCTTCGGTCCTTCACAGATTGGAACAGTCCACATGGAAATCTGACTTTCTTGGTAGAAACATTATCTTATGTGGAATTAAAAAAAATAAAAAAAAATCCCAAACACTTTATATCATATAATGAGACTTTCTTTGTAGTAAAAAAATATACTGAACACAGATTTGAGCAAGAATTACATAACTTTGTAAGAAACCCCTCAAATATCCATCAGTCTGCTTGGGTAGAACCTTGGATATTTATGTGGAATGTTAAAATGTCTCTTTAAGTCTTAATCCATCTTAGAACCGTAAACAGAACACAGTATATTTTTATTTAGACAAGGAAAAGTGAGACTTTAGTAGTTTGTGTTTCTTCCTGTTCAGAGTAAAGGAAAGCACAGACACATTCACAGAAACCAGAGAAGGATTCATCAGAATAACGGATTACTGGGTAAAAACATGATCATAAAAATAAACATCTTTATTTAAAATGTTTGCACAGCCTTGCTGGTTCAACGTCTTAGTGCAGTTCAGGACAAGGTTGGGAATGAAGTTGATCAGCCAAGGAGACTAAAGTCGTACTCGTCAGCCGAGTCCTGCAGCAAGGACAGCGGAGTCCGAGTCCCGAGGGAAAACACTTCAACACTTGGAAAGCAGTGAAGGTTCTGTTAGGATCCTGGAAGCTCATTTAGTGATTTCCTTTGTCCAAAGAGCTTCAGCAGAGACATTAGACATTGCAATAATTAATGGAAAGAGGCGCCTTACTTTATCTTGCTCTAAATCT